AGTCAGGGTGCCATTGTGCAGCCCAGGGGTGCCCAATCCCAGTCCTCAAGAGTCCTGCAGCTTTTAGATGCATCCCTACTCCAACACAGCTGAATCAAACGATTGGATTACCTCTTTAGCGTGCCATCAAGTTTGGCAAAGGCCTGATAACAAGGCATTCATTTGATTCAGGTGTGACGGAACAAGGATGCATCTAAGCTGCAGGATGGTAGCTCTCGAGAACTGGGATTGGGCATCCCTGGTCTAGCCTGTACAGGTCTGTGTCTCACACCTCCCAGTTTTGGTATCCTATGGCAAATTCCAATTGGGCTATGGTGCCAGGCAGTGAGCACAAAGCCCACTACAGGAGTTAGGACCACCAGACCACCCTCATAGAGTCTGTTTCTGATTGTTTAATTAAAGACACATACACAGGTGGCCTTAATGTGCCATCCTGGACACGTTGGACTACCTGTGGAACCTCTGCAGGGTTCATTTATTGCCTCGCGCTGCTCGTAGGGTCACTGACCCTAGCCAAATGCAAAATAATGAAAAAACAGAAAAGATAAAGAGTGAAAATGTTTGTTCTGTTCTTAATTTCATTCAAGCTTCAACTGATTTATATCCGCTACTATATCTCAGAAGTGAGTGTGTGTGTGTGTGTGTGTGTGTGTGTGTGTGTGTGTGTTATTGTTATTCAGCAATCATTCTGATAAAAGAATAATTGTTTTACTTTACAACCAAACATTTCACTGTTTGCCCGTCAGCTTCAGAAAACTGTATGATTATATTAGAAAATCAACGTTTATTTTTTTGGAAATCAAAAATCATGAAAAATCACATAAACACACAACTGTGAAAAATTATGAAACTATCACTGGGACCCTAATAAGAAGGTCTGTGACGGTGTGTTAAGAGCAGACTGAAAAACTTTCAGTATATTTTCAATAATGTATTTTAATGTATTTTTCAGGTTTGTACATTCAAATTCTGTCGTACACAGTACAACATGTAGTGAAACGTTATTGCTGTACAATATCCGACCATTAAACTACAGTAAAGAAATTTACAAAATTTACATTTTAAAAGTTTACAGTAAAAAAAAAGGTCTAACAGATTTGAAGAATAAATTAGGAATTTAACCTAAGAACTAAGCTAAATTATAAGATGAAAAATAGAATATGCAAATAAAATATTTAAGAAAGAAATTATAAGAAGTGTGCAAATAAACAGTGTGTGTGCAGTGACATGATGCATGACAGTTCAGAGTATCCCTGGGTCAAGACCCGAATAGCCTGAGGGAAGAAGCTCGTCCTCATTCTCTCTGTTTTGGCCTTAAGAGAGTGGAAGCATTTGCCAGACCTCAACATTGAGAAGAGGCCATTGTTGGGATGGGAGAGGTCCATATATAGTGTTTTGTAGTAGCCTAAAACATGTATATTTTCCACTTCTGCAAATATACTTTCAGAAGGAGAAATTCTAATGTATAGTCAAGTAATTAATGACAAATCAGGGAAAACTCCTCTAAAACTCTAATAAGACTGCAAAAGACACAACAAAAAATTCCTCATATTTTTTAACATAGTCGATAAAATTATTATCTATTGGTTTGTACTGAGGTTTCCCGTTGTTCGCTCTGTTGTTTTATCCTATTTCTTTATTTTTTATTGCAGTTTTAAACAAAACTGTCCATTTTATACATTTAAAGATGACATGAAGCTCAGGGCAGGCTATTTTTAAAAAAAAGTCTGTGAAAAAAATCTAATTTTCAACATCATAAACCTTTTTTAACATCTAGGATTTTTTAATTACCACTACAACATCAGCTATAGAAAGTGTGAAAATGAGTCATTCTTTATAATATGAAATCTAAAAGTTGCATGTATCAGCAGCTATGATCATTTATGAGCTCGCTAATATATGATATTTATTTAAAGGCAGGTATTTTCATCAACACACAGTGTCAGCAGAGCCCAGGGCAGCCTTAATGCCACCCTAATCATTTCACTGTTGTACACAGCGTTTTATTTCCCCCCGTTCACCTGTCATTTCACACAGTCAATTAGTTTGGTGGCAAGTCGTGGCCTTTCATGTCCATATCAGAGATGCTAAGGCTTAAAGACAAAAGACTCATTATTTCATAGCATGTGTCAGATCTACAATCCATACCAGGCTGTCTCTTTGGCTTTGTCTTTTCATGATAACATTTCAGCTGCTTGTTTCCAGATTATTGACATCATGTGTAGCCATTCGATAGTCCATTTCATCAGTGTAAGAGTTTCTTTCACTCTTAATTAACATCTGAACTGAACGAGGAAATGCATTAATGGTTGCTTTGTTGTCATTGCAGCTAATTAATACTCAGGAGGTTTGCATTTTCCTGGAAAAACAAACTATAAAACCGATGTTTCAGTGAACACAAGACATGCTTCTTCAAATCAAGGTCTTATTTAAACAGTAGCTTACTGGGATGTGTTAGTTAGAAGGCCTCCTGTCACCTGCACACTGGGCTTCACAGGCCAAAGTGTTACTCATGAGTTCCTCATTTTTAGCATTGCGGCTATTTCAAGTTCACTGAGATCTGACATTGAGAGATTGCACAAAAATAATGGCATATTTAAAAAAATGGGGGCAGGGGAGGCTTTCCCAGTCATTTCCTTATTTCTACCTTACTTTAAAAATTAATCTGCAAACTTTTATCAAGAATAGAATTATTGATAAAAGAAACATTGCCCAGTCACCAACAGCAGTTTTACATGCCCTACAGATATTAAAATATTCACAAGCTACACTATTTTCATCAATCGATTCTTAATTTAATTTACTTAATTAACTTATTAATTAAAGTACTGAGTTCATTTTGAAGGTTCATATAAAAGATTAAGGACATTTTGCATCGTCAATGAGGAACATAAGAGTGAATTCACTCAATCACAGAACCATAAAAAATTATGAAATGCAAAATATAACAAACAAAAAACATTCACTTTTCTATTTGAAGTAAATCAAGTGCAAAAACTGTTGTTTCAAACAAAAAGGGAACAACTGAATAGGAAATAGTAGATACATGAAATAAAGAAATAAATATGCACTGGAACAGGCCTCTGCTCTGATGACAGAGAAAATCCTCCCTGCAAGCCAGTGAGACAAAGTAAATTTACGCAATCTGTTAATTAGTAGGCTCACTGCAAATTAAGAGATCATGTAAAACTGCATCAATATAGACCAATGCTTAAAAAGTCATTTGGACTTAGTGGAAGAAAAAACACTTGGACACGGCAGAAGTCTGAATAAAATCCAGTCCATGTTGGCCTTTTGTTCAAAGCTGACAGGACGAGTTTACATGGACATATCCAAGAACTCGTGGGACTAATGCTCCTTGCTACACACACTAAGATTTACCTTTTAAAAAAAATATTATTTTTCCAAGTAATGAAATGTCTTTACATTTACATTCTTAATGCGGACACTTTACCCGCTGGAGTAAACCTTTCACAGCACCATGCTATCATCGCTTTCTGGTTTTGCTCGTGTCTTAAATAAATAAATGGACAAAAATTAAAAAGCATATAATTGAAAAACTATACAGAATACCTGTAAATAAAAAACAATAATTCATTTAATCTTAAATACATATTTAAAACGTTTACATAGTTCTGACTGAGCACATAATGTAATAGAAAACATTTTTAAATGGGAAAATATTTAACAGGTTTAACGGCCTGATCGCTGTTTTTTTATTATTGTTATTTTATTTAGAGCAATAATTTGTAGATAACCACAAATTTATGTCAACTGGATATAAATTTTAGGAGAAAAAGCATAGCTCTTAAAGACAATCGAGTTTTGGCATGCTGATCATTTAAAGAGCCCTGACCACCAGGAACAGGTTTCTGACAGGTTAGCAGAAAATACAGTCATTACGAAAATAAGAACTAGATGTAAATTTGAGGTAAATGACACGCAGCACAGCGCTGTGGGAGTCGGCTGCTGGTTAAAGGCTTCAGCCGAAACTTTTCTGCTCACTGGGTTTTGCCTTTGAGCAGTGACACATGAGGAGGTCGTTAACAAATTAAGATGAATCAGAGAGCAGCAACAGGGCGTCAGCCATAAACAAACACTGACAACTGCCTCATGACAACAGGCTCAGTTGTGAGTGTGATATTATATCGGCTGTTTCGAATGTCGTGCAGTAACATGCAGGCTAGTTTTGTAACAAAAATCTAAACAGATCCACAAATAACGAGTCATAATTCATATAATAATAATAATTAACACAGTGCTCATTCTCGATATAGTCCTGACTGTGGACTGTTAAATCTTACATTTATTCTTTATGTCAACAGTACACGCAACACTCTGTGCCCTTAAAGCGTCCACTTGGTCTCATGGATAAAAACTAGCACAAAATCATTCATTAGCTTTGGTCAGTTCGTGTTCCAGCAGCGAGCTGCCGCTAAAGTCAATGAAGTCCGCGCGCTCGTTTATCTGCATTAGTGTCAGAGAACGTAAGTCGCGGTTTGCCAGGCCGCCCCCTCCTGTCATGTGCAGCCCGGGGAGGGAGGTGTGGAAACACCGCCCGTGTTTACGGTCTACATTCCTCCAGCTAGGGTGCTGCTCTCTGAACTGAACTGCTGGAAGCCATCAGCATTCATTCAGTAGATCGGCTCTGCTGGGAAGCACGTGAGGCGCTCGGAGACTTTTTCTTTGTTTTTAATAATCTAAACATTTGATTTTGCTCCAAAGATGCTCCACAAATGGTCTCCCTTTGAATCTTTAATACCTTTTTTTTTGGAAGATTTAATTATGCGTAAAACTCTCAAATAATTACCCAGCAGTTTCCATCGTGTTTACCACTGTCACTCTTGCCACCTGCAGGCCCTTTCATTAGAACTTGTTGTGAACAGATGCCGGACTCCGCCTGTATGATTATTTCAAGCTCACCTCTGCGACTCAAAGCGAAACAATAAGCACAAGAACGACAGCATGAATACGACAGAATGTGGAGAAGTTGGACCTACAGTGTGCGCTCCGGCGGTGCTGCCACTCTCTATGCGCCAGTCCGCTGATGCATGCTTTCAGAGCCTTCTCTTGCAACATGCAGGAGGACGGGCTGGAGGTGTAGAAATCCAGCATCTGTCCGGGACTTACGGTGAGCATGTCCATGCAGTCAAACATGATAAGAGGCTCTTCGTTCAACTACTCTTGTGTGTGATGGATAAAAATCGCCGACATAAGCGCAAGCAACTCCGTCGAACTCCTCTCCCCCTCCCTCCCCCTCTCCTTGGCACGGCGGATTTCGTTCCTCTTCTTCTCCTTCGTCCCGCACTGGAATCACTAATTATTTCAGTCCGAAACGCTCCGCCGCTTTTTCTAAATCCTCATTTCTTGCACCGAGTCTACTCTCCGCCCTGCCGCGAACCTCCGAAGACTCCATAATAATAACAATAATCCGACCTGTTTTTTGGAAATCGCCCCGTCTCGCATTGGGAGCGGTGGTAAAACACGCGCGAACAGGAGAATTTGTCTCTTGTAATAATAATAATAATAAAAAAGAACCACGGACGGCGTTTAAAAGCTCACGTTTCTTCAGCGATGACGAATGGGTTATCCACCCCCCCGCGCAACTCATTTCCAACTAGTTTTGCCACAGAGAGTGAAAGATTGAAATGCTTAATATATGCCGGTGAACTCTGTATGAACCCTTCCGAGGCGGCTGACCTTCAAATCACCCAGGCAGGCTGACATCACTGCAGCTCCGCAGCGCGGAACAAGGCGAAGTGAAGAAACGCAGGGAAAATAATACTTTCTTCAGTTGGGAAAGAAGACCCACGCAGCTAAAATTTGAAACGAGGTTTTTTTTATTGTCGTTATTATTATCAATTGTATTATTGTTATTGTTATTATTGTTATTAGTCATTATACAGTATCAGCACTCACATCTCTCTGGCTGTGATGGGCATATTGCTTTTTACGCACGACGCTCACTGTTGGTGAATGTTGGACCATGAGATCAGTCGTGAGGTCATATTATTTATTTGATTAGTGATAAGAACTTTATCGTCATTTTATTTATCTTTTATTTTTGAATTAAAAAACAATACTCTATTTTGTTAATAGTAAGCGTTCTTGTTTTACATGAAAACCATGTTTTTCACTGACAACGATAAGCATATTCACAGTTGTGCGCATTAGTAAAAGATATAAAGGGCTTATAAACTAAACTGTGACCTGTGATTTGCAACATTTTAGAAAACTGCTGACTTTGTTGTTATATTGATATACTGAACATATATACACAATGTTGGTAGCATTTAATATCTGAATAATTAAATGGCTGCATTCTAAAACATGAGTTTCAGTAAGACCCAGAATACAGATTTAAGTTGCTTTGACTTAATTTTAAAATAGCAGATTAAAGCAAAAAAAAAAAAATTAAGAAACTTTAGCATAATAATTTGAACCACTTTACTGAGAGTTCTTCTAAATACTCTTATTTATTTTGGCTACAGTGCAGCTGCCATTCCAAGAAATGAATTAAGTAGAACACATTTAAGCCTACAGGCTTACATGCTGAGGGAACAAATGTATTATTTCGAGAATCTTCCTTATTTAAAGTGTTCTTTGTATAGCATTTTCACACAGCATTAGATCTGTTATTGACAACAACATGATTCATCTGACTGTTGATCTTCCAGGCAGATGAATCTTTATCTGTTTTCAAACATGAAATCATATGAATAAGAGAATCAATCAACATAAATTATTTGCCCTCTCGCACATTTAGGAATATGCATGAGGGGGAAATCTTATATACAAATCCTCAAAACAACATTAAGGGAACAGCTGCTGATCACAAACACAAAGAGAGATAAACTTCAGTTAGGAAACAAAAACCATCGTGACCACTTACTGGTAGCTTGAGATGGTACCTGAAGGTCGTTCAGATTTGCAGGTAGGTCTTCTAAAAAGGAACAGAAGTACTTCTTTGGGCTTCATGAGGGGCATTTCATAGGTTTTTTTTTTTTTTTTTTAGTTGGCTGCCTTTTGTTCCAATCTTTGTTAAGATGCACTACGTCAATAATGTCTAGGTACAGGCTTTCACGAGGCCAATCCATGACTGATCGTGTTCCCATGTGTATGTTTTTCTATGCAGGTATGCTTTTACTGCACTTGCAGTGTTGGGATCACTGTAATTTGGAAAAATGAAGCTGTTCCAATACCTTTAACTTTACAAGGTCCCCAAAAAACCATGACGACACCTAAGGTGTATTTTACAGATGGCTAAAACCGCTCACTGATGTACTTCTTCCCTAACCTAGACCGTACATATAAACAATAATTTGAACCCAAAATGTCCACTTTGGATTAATGAATGATTAAAACAAGTTGCAGTCCAGTACGTGTGTGGTTAGAAATAGCTCAGCCTTTTCTCCTCATTTCAATTCTCTCTTCCATTGAGACTCTTTGCTGGGATTTTACCCCCATTTCCTAAGGACATGACTTTTAGATACTGTTTATAGACATATATATGCTATAGACACTTCTTTTACTTACGCAGTTTTCTTACATTTCTTTAAGGACAAATCCCATACCACATTGAGGTTTGACAAATGTTTCAGCTGATAGCTCTGTGGGAATCACCTCGTTGGTTCAAAGATACAATTGTATGTCTCTCAAACCTTGACATTTTTGGAAATTTGTCAATTCAACTAAAGAAATGAGAACAGATTTTGTGTTTTTGCGACCAGACTAAAGATAGACTTGGTTTTGTGTAGGTGTGTAGGTGTAGGTACAACACTAGTTTATTCACCTAGTGAGGTGCCTTTTGATGTTTTAATGATTTATAGATCAAAGTTAAGTGGCTCAAGACTTTTACACAGTCCTGTAAATATTTTATTTTAAATAGCATCATGTGCTAATTAGACAAGAAGTGCTGCTTTCTGAACTAAGCTCAGTATATTCTATCTAATAATTACTCTCCCTGTGCCTGTGTTTGGTTTCAAATTAAGACTAAATTACTGTGATATTCTTTGCTGGCCACCAGGCTCTACATGTTCTACTGACAGACCAGGCAAACACCGAAACAATCACCTAAAACCAGAATTGTATTTTCTTGTAAATGTCTCTAATTCTTATCATCTCTGTTTTGTGGTTTGAACTCTTGGTTTACATTAGTGAATGTCAGTTTCTACAGTTGCTCTAGTAAAAAAAAATTCTTTGATTTTTTTGTGTATAAGTTTTGTCAATATCATTCTTGTTATTGATTCCTGTGATTGTATTATTCCTGCCTTGTAGCTGTTCCACACCAGCACATTGTGATATTGTGTTATGTTTTCTTGAGTTGTGTCAGAGGAAATCTTTCATGCTGGTGCTGTGGTTGGTTCTACTGCATCATAGTAATGTCTCATGTCTAAATCTCCTGGTTGGGTTAGTTCTGGTTCTGTGTGAAAGTTTGAATGTTCTCTCAACGCCTGCTTGGGTTTCATCCAAGTTCTCTGGCTTCCTCCAAAAACACATGTAAGGTAATTGGTGATGTGAAATTTGTCATGGATGTAAAGTAGATAAAAGTGCTGTGTGAATGTACGTTTGAAAATGTGCCTTGTAGTCTGAAGCACTTTGGGTGTCAGGGCCCCCAGTGCTAAATATTCCTGTCTTCTGAGGCCTCTTTGCTCCCTGTTTCAGATTCTCTCCCAGTGGACCTAAGCAATCTCTGCCTTTGTATTCCTTCATCTGTTTTGTTGAGCTGGTTCTCCATTAAAAATCGCCCCTGGAAAACCCTCCGCTCCACCAGCTGCTTGCCCTCCTGCCTATGATCTCCTGTGAGTAAACCAGTCCACCCCTCCTGGACCACTATTCACAAGTACACCTGAACATTAATCTTAACAACACTTGGAACTGTTATTTTACCCATATACACATTTTTGGGATTTAACACCCATCACCTCTCTCCCAGTGGACCGCCATCCCAGGCTCAGGTTCTGCCTTCTGAAGCTCACCCATCTATGCTCTCCCCTTTGTGCCCGTATTCTCTGGCACATAGTTTCCCAGTGCAAACCATTCAGTGTTTCAAGTTCTCTACTTCTTGTGCAAAGTAAATACATTTGCACTACTCTCTAGTCTCAACTTAGTCATGCTTTAGAGTCCACTTACCTTTGGTGCTTGCACCTTAACATAAAGGTCCAAACAGCAAGAAATTATTTTTTGAGTTGCTGGTTTCCACTGGTTTAAATAAACCAGCCAAACTGGTTTATTCCCGAATTGTCCCATTTCTAAATCTTTGTCTAGCAGAAATATTACATACATATTTGGATGCTTAAGCCTTATTAAAATCAAGTGTCAAAAGAAGATACTCATTCATCTAAACTAACACCATTAATTTGCTACCCGACACCATACTATACCAGAGAAAACCATGAAGAGCAGAAAACGAGTCTCAAGGTTTCAACTAGATCTGACACAAGGACATTCTATCTATTCATATCACATATCTTCATCATTACAGTCATTATGAAAGGCACCATGCAGCCTGTGAAGCCTGTATAAACAAGCAAAGTTATCTGTGGCTCTGCAGGGCATGGCCATATCTGTAACAAACAGTCACCAGTGGTGCTTATAAAGAAATACTTTTGAGTCATATTATGGGAAATGTTCTAGTGTTTTTGGAACCACAATAAATACAAAAACCTACAATTCTAAACATTGTTTTTATCTACAGCAAATCTCTAAACTTTATAGTTTTATAAGTCAAGATTGTTGAAAAAAAGGCGTTTGTTGTAAATGCTGATAAAATCAATTTTTCCACTTCTCTGGTATAGTTTTACTTGATTTACAAGGAAAACAGATAGATAGATAGATAGATAGATAGATAGATAGATAGATAGATAGATAGATAGATAGATAGATAGATAGATAGATAGATAGATAGATAGATAGATAGATAGATAGATAGATAGATCACAGAGTAAGTGAGGCAGTTTCAGAGGCAGAACCAGTTTGAGTGGTACACAGCACACAGCACACTGATCCCCACATAACTCATGAATATTGCACAGAGCCTACAGCAAAGCTGAAACAAAAACCCCTGGAACCCAGTCCCACCCCAAGCCCCTCCCCAACACACACGAGTTGACCCCTTGGAGTTCAGCAGGTGTAACACTAACTCCTGGACACACATTCACACAACCCCGGTCAGCACAGGTAATGAATACATTTGACAATCCACCTGTAATTAGAAGGTGATAATGAACCCATCCATCAAGATAAGCCACTTTTTGGCATCACTGCTCCGCAGTTCATGGCTGTTGCCAAAACGCACTCTACTGTGACTATAAGCAGTGTAGCTGATCATTTAATAAGGAAGAGTAAAGTCTGACAGCCTCAAGGGAACATGCATACAGCAGCTGATGTTTTTAGCTACTTTCAAATCCTATTTTTTCTCCACAAGAAATCCTTATTTTATAAAGTACTTATGAGAACTAGTCAGTTTGGTAGTCACAATTCATTCATGGGTCAAAACCCGTTCACACAGCTATATTTAGTTACATTTGCACTTAATCTATTGTTAATTTAATTGAACCTGCATGAAGCAGGAAAGTAATTTTCCACTCATGAATCGTGCCTGAGCACGATTTCAGTACATGAAATTATACCTTTGAGCTTCAAACTGATACAGAG